ATATATATATATATATATATATATATATGGGAGCTCTGGTGGCATAGTGCCTAAGGCACTTGATTGCTAACCAGAAGGAAGTTGGGCAATCTACTTCTATAGTAACACTGCCTCGGAAACCCAAGGAGGGGTCGCTATGAGTTGGATCCAACTTGAAGGCAGTGAGTTTGGTTTTTGAGATTATATATATATATATATATATATATATATCCATCCCCAGGAATTGTAAGAAAAGTTGGGGGTGCTTCGTCTAAAAGTACTTGATCCTGCTTTATTCCTAGCCCAGAACAATAAAATTACTCAAGTTATATGGCTAAAAATTCTCACTTCCCTACCTCTTCTTTGTTACTGCTAACACATAAATACCCATACACTTAGCTATATATTGGAATAGATATTGGAATATCGCAATGGAATGGAAAATCTCTATGTTCTTTGGAGGGAAACACAAGGGAAGTGTGGGACAATTCTGTTGTTCCATGCAAACAAGAACAGCTTAAATAACAAATTTACAGTCCATCTTCCAGGTAGCAACTGCTAATCTGGAAGTTGGTTCCTTCACCCTACTTCTTGTCTCTCCCAGAAAGCCCCACTTACAAAAGAAGATGAGTGATCTATAGAGGAAGAAGATCAGAAAACCATCATTTGCTGAAAGCTTCTTTGTGGTGAGTGGGGTGATCTGTATGTATTCTGCTTTGAGCTCAAGGACTGGCCTCTCTGTTAGTCTCAAGTCTGAGACTGGAGTCTGAGCCTTAGGGGTAGTGCCACTCAGCACATAGATTCTGGTTCCTGTACTATTTGCTGGCTCGTCAACTTAAGCTTCTGTGTACAACTTAAAAATCCTCTTTATGAGCTCTGCTTGTGTTCTGGAATGAAGGGAATGGCGTTTGGTGTGCGAGGAGGCTGATCAGAGAAACTACTGACATTTTCTGGGCTGCAGTTCTTACTTAGTTGCCCTCTTGAATGAACCTTTCCACACTGGTGTCTCTGGTAAATGGTGCCATCGAGGCTAATCTCAGCACCACCAACCACTCAGAGCCATTAGTTTTCTTCCAGTGAGGACTTTGCTTCAAGCCTCACAAGTTCTAAAACTTCTCCCACTTTACTTTGGGAAAGACTTCTCCCTGATGTTTGGCACTTTCACACACATATCTTAGCTGAATGGGTCCCGTGTATTTATGTGATTTGGATGCTAAACATTCTTTCTAGAACTCTCAAAAGATCGTATACTCCAGGCAAATTGGGGTTGACTTTCCTTCTGCAGCTCCCCAAAACTCTAAGGGTCAGACTTAGGCTTTGGGGAAGCAAAGGAAAGGGGACATCACTGGGATATTATGTATTTTATCAGGCCCTGAGTTACAGAATTCTGCTCAATCCCTAAGAAACCAAAGAAAGTTTACTATTATTGTGCTAATTTACTCACTAAGCTGCTTCTGTGGCCTGGCTGTGTCACCAAACTGAGGTGTGACCTTAAGCAAGTCATTTACTCAGTTTTTTTCACCTGCAAAAAGATGTGGACTGTTCAGGAGTTTAACTTCTTTCACCCCTGAAAATCTATGAGAATGGGAGAGGATCTCCACAGAGGGGAAGAGTTCAAATAGTATTTGACTAACCTTGAAATCTGTTCAAGGCTGCATCTTTACCCACCAATTTCCCAGGGGGTTCTAAGATTTGCTTTATTGCTTCAACTAAGTGCCCACTCCACCTTGCAACCTGGGCCAGAGGGCCCTGGCTTATGGAATTGGGTGGGGATGGGGAGGAGAAAAGGGGCCTGAGAAGAGAGAAACCAGGCACACAGGAGGCATTAGGAATAGAGTTTACTAGCCTCCAAAAGAACATTTTGAACCAGAATTTCAAGCCATCTTCTGTTCTTCTCCAAGACCCAGATCTCTCCTGGGTTTTCAACACAAACCCTTCTGAGAGGTGGCATGGTCAGGAAGGATAGCTCTGTCTACAGCTGCCATACCTGCACCCTGGATTCGGGCAAGTTGATTTTCAGCGCCACCTCCTCCCGCATGAAGATGTCAGGGTACCGGGTCTTGGCAAACAGCGCTTCCAGCACGTCGAGCTGCGCGCGGGTGAATGTCGTTCTTTCCCGGCGTTGTTTCCGGGGGGTGGCTGCGGGACAAGAAGCCCAGGGCCCTTTAGGGTCGGGAGTAGGTTCTCAGTCACAGGGGTCTCGGCGATGCTCCAGCTCCCCATCATTCCTCCAGTCCTGCAGCTCTTTACCCCTGAACCTCACACAGTTCTCCCCAACCCCTCCCCTGTCTCTGCTCCCGGGCCAGACAAGGGGTGTCGTGACACACTCTGCCCCTTCCAGAGTAGCCCCCTACACAGCCTGACGTGGGAGATCTCTCCAACCTCCACGTAGCCAGCGCTTGCAAAACAAACTAAATCAAAGACCAACGACCAAAAAAACAAAACGAAGAACTTTCCAAAATTAACCCCAAAACCACAAACACACACATAGCCCTTCCATAAGGTCAAAGGATTCCCGAGGGCTGGCAGCTGGGCAGGGAAAATCTCCATCCTGCTTCCACGATTTTTAGGACTCAACGAGCCTTTGTTCCTCCATCTTTAAAATGGGGGCATAGTTCGAACCTCTACAAAATGTTTAAAACACAGGTTGGATCCGAAAGGAAAGCACCCACGCCGGAAGGAAGTTACACCTCTCGGGATTAAAAGTGTAGGGTCTGAAGGTCAGAGGGGAAGCCCTGGCGTAGAACAGAGGGTGAAGAGGAGTTTATGGAGCGAAAACTCATCTTCTCCAAGAGGAACCGGATTTCGGAATATATATAGTCAAGGGCTTCTCGCCGGAATGCTAAGGGCTGTAACCGTCCTTACCCCTCCCCTGTGGAGTCCCCTATTCACTCAAATTAGAATAAAGCGATGTGATTTTCTGCTAGGGCTGCAGATCCATTAGCTCTGCGCGCCTCATCCCAGCCCCTGGCGCTCTCGCCAGGGTCGGTAAATGCCCGGTGACTCTGAGTTGCTGCTTCGTAAAGAAAATCCAGTAGGGACCTTGCCTGGAGCTGGGATGGAGCAGTGCGATCACCATTCTCGGGACTAGGGTAGGGGTGCAGTGGGGGTAGTCATATCCCCACGGGGCAGGCGTGGGGAGAGGCGCGGGGCTCACTTACCCGGGTAGCCCACGGAGGGGTGCAGCAAGTCCATGCCCGAAGTGGTCAGACTCAGCCCATTGACTGTGTAAGGCGGTTGCTTAAGATAAGACATCATGCTAAGGTTGTTTGGAGGCGCAAAATCGGCCCAAATCTGGGGACCCAGCCGGAAGGTCTCGCTTAGCCTGGAGTGGACAGATTCAGGGTCCCTGGTGGGTGGGTTTGGGGTGGTGGAACTAAGAGCAAAACAAACAAACAGAGGTGCTGGTTTACTGCTTCGGAGACAGCAGCTCTTCCACGTTCCACCACTAACGTAAAAAGAGCCCGCGTTAGGCAAGACGGAGACTTTTAAAGGACTCACAGACACCCCTCCCCAGCTGCTCTGGATCTGGAGAGGACGGAGACCAGATAAACCTGCCTTCCCACCCCCACCTTAAATTAAAAAGAAGTACCCGAAGAAAGCAATTACAATCCGCCTTTCCCCCAAGAACAAAACCCCACGCCTTCAAATGCACACATTGCATTCCTATCCCTACATTTGCATAGGACTCCTTGGCTGGCACTAGCTAATTGTCTCAAACAAAACTTGATTGGGGCCATTTGCAGAGACAAAGAACTCTTTGGCTAAATAAATAATGCTGATAACAAAGCCCATTGGTGAGAAACAAAGAAACAATTCGAGAAATCTACCTCTCCCCAGACTGTTGCCTTTCCACGGCAGAGATTTTAATTATCTTAGCTTTTTACCACTTTCAACTGCTGAGAACCTAAAATGTCAGTGCATTTAACATCTGAAGTACCAACTTGCTAATCGACAAACTTGAGAAAACTGCTCCACCACTATTATCCCACATTTGAAGTCATTTCCAGTAATCATTTTCACCTAATTAGTAGTCTGGGTAATTAGATTTTGAGGTAAGTAACAGATTTATTAAGGTTTTGGAGAACCTTGATTATATATGTCTAAAGAACTACAGCTAAACAAGCAAGTATTTAATTTTTAATTAACACCCATTAAATATCTAAACATAACTACATTAAAGAAAAAAGTGTCTTCAAGATTGGCACACATTTGCTAGAAATTTCTGAAGTAAAGTTAGAATCCCAACAGTGAGATGACAGAACCCTACATTTGCAAGTAGAAAGGGTGCGCATTTGTCGTGCAATCCACTTCCATGTTGATGTTGATGTGTGGAGGCTGCAGATCCTGCGGGAGGCAAATTTGCGGACATTTGGGTCCTCGGCAAGTGCAACAGTTCCCTGTGAACTCTGGCTGCCTTTTGCACATTTTAGTTTTGAACAATGAGATACACAGACACACAAAGTTGGGAAACCCAAAGAATTTCTCTCTACCTTTCAAGCTTCCTACAATACTATAAGAAAAAGAGCGGAAGGGGGGGGGGAAGTCCTTTCCTTTCTTCAGCCGAGTACTCCTCCTCCCACCCCCACCCCCCTCGCAGAGATCCAAAATGGATGTTAATATAGGCTGGTAGTTTGCAAGTCTGGCTGTTATTTCCTAAACTGTGGCACTAATCCTTCAAGGATCCCTACTTTGCAACTTTGACACAGTGAGAGATTGCTTCAAAATGGCGGAGACAAGATTAGGAGAATTTCCCTCTTACTTTTACAAAGGTCTTCTTGAGGGAGTTTTAAGGAGTCTGGGTCTTCATTGCTTAAGAAATCAAGGCTGAAAGTTCCACAAATAGAACTAGGTTACTGGAACTTCTTTCTGATTTAAATTCATAGCACAAAAATCATGCCCCCTCCCCTAGATATCACTTAATGTAATTGTATGAATGTCTTCCTTGGCGTTTATCTTATCTCATCAGCAAAACCAATTTTGCCCGCTCCTACAACAAAGACTTTATGTTTTCTATTCTTTTTTCACAGTGGTTTGGAGACCATGAAAATAATACTACTTTAAAATACACAGCAGTCACTTATTTAACTTAATTTCTGTAAGTTAGAGTTCTTTGTTTTTCTAAAAAAAAAAAAAAAAACCCACAATCTTAATACCTTGCAAAGTTTTTAACTTCTATAGAGAAAAACCAAATTCATATAAGAGGTGCACAGAGAAATATGGGAAGCGTTCTTACACGGAAGGCTATCACCCAATGAGAAAGGCCTGAGACATCGCACAATAAAGTAGTGCATTCCAACGTAAGAAAGCAGGAACAGTCAGAAAGCACCAGGACAGAGATCCTCCTTGGAGCTCCTTAGCCCATATCGTGGCAAAATGGCTAAAGTTCTCGACACAGGCCGTTTTGGCTTTTACTCCCGGTTCCCCCTTAAAAAGTAAATGAAGAAGAAGAGAAAGGAAGGAATGAGGTGCTCTCCACAGCTAGCCTAGGTGTGCACTTTCCGGAGAAGGGGCCACGGGCCCCTCCATCGAACTTTCAAAGCCCTGCAAGGACCTCTTTCTTCTTTCTCCCTTCTCTCTAAGCCGAGGCCAGGAGAGGAAAAGAAATACCTTCTCCAAAAATGCAAGACACAGTTACCACTGCTCCCAAGGCGGCCTCTGGAGAACTCGGACCAAGAAGGAGCGGGAGGCGGTCGCGCGGCGAGTCCTGCACCTCCGGGCGCCAGTGGCTCGCTCCGGCGTCCCTTGCCCCGGCGCCGCGGTCCCGCGCCACTGCCCGGCCCGGCCCGCGCAGCCTTATATCTAACGGTCAATTCGTGCAATCTGTCGCTGTCGCCCACCCCCGCCTCCTCCCCCCCTCGGGTTTTTTTTTTTTTTTCTCTTCCGGGGAGCCCATCTACCAGTTGCTCGGTCCTCGCTCAATAAAAATTACCTCGTCCGAGAATTAATTATAATAAATGTTTTCTTGATAAACTAACGAGATAATCCGAGGGGCACACGTCCCTTAATTACAGGCCGCCGAGCTCAGCTCTGCTTCTCGTCCGGGCTGATTAATTTTCTGCATGATGGAAAGGAAACAAAACTACGGGGACTGGTGACTAGCCTGCGGCTCGGAAGGCGACGAGGAGGAGGAGGAAGAGAAAGAGAAAAGAGCTCCGTGGGCAGCGCGGCCAACAGCCGGCTGGGGCCTCTGTCAGGCGAACTCGAGTGAAAGTTTTTGGCATTAGAGGACCAACGCGTCCACTCGCGAGGGAGGGCGGGAGGGAGAAACGTGCCAAAAGGGTTGGCCTTGACTGTTAATGATCATTAGGACAAAGTCCGGGTGGCAGCTTGCAGAGGCGAGATTGCTACCTTCCTTTGGGGGCAGGAGGCCCTCCCCCCAGTTCCTCTCTTGTGCTAATAACTTTGGTGACTGGAGGAAGTCCGGAGGAGGGTAGAGAAATCCCGACGCCCAGAGCTCCTGGATGGAAGGGAGAGTGTCAAGGAGGGACTGCCAAGTCCCCTCCCTAATCCTCCACAACCCCAGGGCCCAAGCAGCCCGACCTGCTCTGCCCGCGCCCCTCTGTCTGTAATGGAGGAAAAGGCCAACTCTCCGAGATCCTGACCGGCGACGTGGGTTTCAAAGAATGTGCCCCGCCATCGGACGTGGGATTTTCAAGAGTCACATGAACCTATCAACACCAAGACTTCCTCGGAGCTGGCGGCGAGATAAGTCGCCGAGGCCCGGCGCTGGCCGACTTGGTTCTCCGTGAGCCTGCCGAGAGCCGAGGCCCCGGCCCCCCGACGTTCCAAGGTCCCCGAGCCCCGCAGCTGCCCGTGGAGGAAAACAGCTGAAGCACCGCGGGCCCGAACGGAAGGACTCCTGTCCCCTGCCGATCGGCTGCCTCTGGCCGAGCCGGGGCCACTGGCGGCCACCGCATCCGCCCCAGGTGCGCGCCGGGCGAGCCCGGCACCACACCCGCCAAGTCACGGTGCAAAACGACTATTCTTCGCTCTCTCGGCCCGGTGACCCGAGTTTAGGACCGCGACAAACGGCACGGGGTGGGGGGTTGCACTCTCGAGGCTTTGGGGAGGAGTGATCAAAAAGAGGAGCCCTAGAGGCCTCGGATAGAGGCCGAGAAACGCGAGCGAGCCTTGCGCAGCGGCGCTAGGATCCCGAGAGGGCGCCGGGGCGCGAGCGGGCGCGCAGGGCAGGCAAGGCCCGCGCCCCTTCTCGGTTATCCGCCGGGCTTCTTTTCCGGCCTTTCAGAGTCAGGCAGGGGCCCAAGGTGCGGCCGTCCGCCCTGCCGACTCGCGGCCGAGCCCTGCTCGCGGCGCTCCGGCCTGAGGAGGCGCCTACCTTTAAAAAAAAAAAAAAAATGAAATCCATCTATCTGCATCTGCATCTTTTTGTCTTGGACTCTGCAAACGCCCTTGAGATCAATCCAAACGACCCCAACCAACTGTAGGGGCCAAAACTCAAAGATCCTAGGAGAAGCCCAGAACCGGCGTTGACATAACACGCACACACACGCACACACATACACACACCCTCCAAAACATCCCAAATGAGACTCGCAGGGTTTCCACGACGTTTTGCAGACGCGACGACCTCAGAAACCCGCTCCCTCGCTCCCAATTCAGTCCCCACCTCCTGAATATAATTTTTGTGCTATGATCGTTATTCCCCCTCAGATTTGATAAGAGAAACAACATCAGGCGTTGAAAGAACTCCACGTTCGCAGACGTGAGTCGGTCGGTCTGCTGGAGGTACTGGGGGGGATGGTCGACAGAGGACACAGAGACATGCATATACCCAGATAGACGAGACAGACACTTACCTTACAGCCGCATAGGAGGTTAGAAAGAAAAAATCAAACTATCCTCAAAATTCTCAATTGCCAGCTATCCTAAAAGAAATCAAGAGTATTGAGTTAGAAACCTTAGCGTCTTCGCCCTTCCATGAGAAGTCAAACACAGCAAAAAATATTTCTTAAAGAACGGAAAATGAGGGAAGCGGCTAGGGTTTGACACTCGCGTGGGCCCCTCTGCGATACATACAAAGTAGAAGTGACGAGGGCTGCTCTAGCGATTTTTATTTTTAATAACAGTGGAGGCTGAGTTGGAGCTGAGGTCGGTTCCGCTCTCAGGCAGATTTGCTGAGAAAGCGCCTCTCTGGCAACTTTTTGACGCAAACTCTCCAACCAATGGCAGGGAGAGAATGATTGACACATCTAAGCCAGAGGGAAAATAATAAAAACACACAACAGGGGGAGGAAAACAGGCCGCTGCTGCACAGGGGGACGAGCCGGCAACAAATCCCGGCCTCCGACATTACCAGAATGTTCTTGAAAGACACTGGGCTCCGCGTAAAATATACATTCTGGGCCTGAGCATGTGAACTAATTGTATAATTAAAATGATGCACGGGGGTGGGGGTGGGGTGGGGCTCGTTTTACCTTATTTTCCTCTCCTTCCTGTACTCCTTTCCTTTCCCCCTCTCCCTTCTTTTTCTATTTTGGTTTTAGGGAAGGGAAGAAAGGAAATGCATACAATATAAGATGGGAACATGAAATTATTTTAGAAAAAGCTAGAGAAGAGTAGGGGAGGGAATAAATGGGTTCTCGCGCTCCAGGCTGGCAGGGAGGGTCTGCAAAAGGCAGAAAGCAAGACGGAGAGGGAAGCTGACCAACCCGCCCGTGCTGTCTCAAACAGGGTCAGACCGCGCTGAAGGCCAGAAAGGATCAAGAAAGAGGCCTGAGAGACAGGAGCGCGAATAGGGAGGAGACAGATACAGAAGCCAAAGAGCAAACTGTTTGCAAAAACCCTTGCCTCTCCCGCTCCTTGCATCCTCATAAGCACACCCTGGTCCTGAACTGCAGATCTGGACACCCGGGCTCCATTCAAGCTTGAGAAGCTCAGGGTAGGCTGCAAAAAAAAAAAAAGAAAGAAAAGAAAAAAAGAAAGAAAGAAAAGAAAAGAAAGAAACACGGACCCTGAATCTAACCCCTGGACTGGTTTGGGGAGACCTCAGGGGTGCAAATGTGGGGTTGATAGGATGCTAGAAGAGGGAGGGAACACCGAGGCACCCGTTGGAAACCATCAAAGTTTCTGAATTAGAACAAACGGCCACTAAACACGCAAACTGCCGGGCCTGGAGCTAACTGAGCGGGCACCGCCCCAGCCTGGGAGGCTGGGAAGTGTCTCGACTCGGGGACCCGAGCTGGAGATGGCGCGAGCCCTAGCCCAACTTTTCCGCCTGGCACAGAGAGCAGTGACCGGACAGCTGTCACACAGATCTGGGTCCCTACAAGAGCAGGAACAGCCTGGGCGGAGTAGGGGGGTGGGGGCGCCACAAGTGGAACGGCTGAGGACGTGTGGATGTGGGCCGAAGAAGGGGCAAAGGCACGGACAGCTTTTTCCCTTACCACTCCCAGGCAGGAAAAGAAACATTCCGTGTCTTCCTAAACACCTCCTCCTCCCCACCACCAGCACCACCACGGCAAGTGGGCCCAAAGAAGCAGCTCGCTGCCTTTAATTTGGGGACCTATGTTAATGAAGTTGGTAATTAATTCGTCGCTTTGTTGTCGCTTCTTATACTGTATGTGTAATCAAATGTGGCCGTCCTTGGGATTTACAGCAATTAACGAATTGCGGGAGTGCGCGCTCTGCAGCCCGCGCTCGGCGGCGGGGCTGGGCTGGCCTCGGGCCCGGGCTGGGGCTGGGCGCTCGGCGGCCGCGGCCCGGCTCGCAGGTGTCTGTGGAGCTTTGGGCCCCGGCGGCTCCGAATCCCGGAGAGGCCCGGGGCCCTTGCTGCCCCTCCCGGGCCCTGTGCGGCGGCTCCAGTCCGAGGAGACCAGCTGGCTGTCGCGTTCCCAGGAGTAGCGACTTTCTGGGGGCCCAGGCTAGGGGGGAGGGTGAGTACAGACCTTTTTTCCCCCCTCACCCCGCCCCCACTGCACCGAAACACCTGGCGACCGCCCCCGAGGCCTTCCATCGGGGGTGGGGGGATGGCTGGTGCCCCAGGCGGCCTGGCCTGCGCGGCGCTGGTTGTCACAGGCGCTCGTGGGGAGCCCTTGGCCAAAGTCGCGATGCTTTTGATGAGACAAGGGCAAATCCACCCCGATCCCCTGTCCTAGAGCCTTCTCCCTTCCCCATTCTCAATATTTCCCAGTTTGTTCAGCACCAAAAAGAGGGGAAGAGTGGACGTTGTGGGTACGGCGGAGGCGAAGGGCGGGAGAGAAGGCCTGAGGCAGGGGTCGGGTGGGATGGAAAAAAATCGGAACACGCGCTTGCCATCGCCACGAACTAAGTGGAATTCTTTAGGCTGGCAGATCTGTCTACTCTGGGGGCCAGAGTCGTGGGAATACCCTCTGGCCCGTTGTTGAGGCTGGCGTTGTCTCTCAGCTGGCGGGAGCTGCGTTTCCCTGAAAAGTCCCCCGTTCTGTCTGACTGAGGCCGATTTGGGCGCCGAGGGGCGTGGGAGGGCTTCTCCTGTCCAGGGGCCCCCAGAGCAGACGGCTCCCGCTTCTCCTTTGCCCTCTAGTCTAATAACTTCCCAGAAAATGCGGGGCCAATAAACCGCGAGTTGGAAATGGACAGTGTTAAATAAACAAGGGTCTCTTTAAAATTCTCATCCACTTCAGATGTCTAAAGTAAGATTGTGATGATTTTGTCACGGTTTGGTAAATTTACCCCTTTAAGAGGCTTTCATAAATCCCAGAACACACCTTCAGCCAGATTTGAATATAGATTTAGGTTTTAAAACCCAGAAGCTGGAAACACTGCTTTATCAAAGAGAATTTCCCTTTAGCTTAGCAATGTGCTGAAGCTCTTAAAAGATTGGATCTGAGAGAGAGAGAGAGACAGAGAGGAGAAAGAGAACTAGAGACAGAGAGAGGCAGACAGGGAGGGGGAAAAAAAAAAAAAGACTTTCTTTTTCTTTCTAGAGGAATTCTGCCCAGACTCTGAAGCGGTTGGTAGCAGGCAAGCTTCCTCCTGGGTGTCTCCCGGAAAAGTTGCGAAATTGCTCTTCACCTGTAAGAACTTGCTCTTTATCTTCCAGTCTCTTCTTGTCAATTTGGAAATTGCAGACAGCCCGGCTCAGGTACAGTCCCCGTGAACCGTACTCTAGATCAGGACAAAAGCCATTGACTTGGGGGTGGGGGTGACTGGGTGGGTGTAGTGAAAACCTTAGACACTTGGTGGGAGGAAAAAGACTCTGGATGAAAAGTCTAACTCCTGATTTTCAGTAAGTTCTTGAACTTCCAATATATTTATTATCTGTATATTCTATATTCTCAGTTTGTGTTTAACTTTTTTTTCTTCTATATCCTGTGTCTTTTTGTCCTTTTCTATTTTTCTATGAATCAGACTTATAGTAGCACACTTTGCATTTTTAAATAACTTTCACTAACAAGTGGATGGTTTTTAATTGCCATGTGTACAATTATCTTGCTATGCATCTGAGTTATAAGTGTTCAGAAGCTAAATTAAGAAAACTAATATGTGGGAATCAAATTATTTGTCAGCATTTGCATGCACTTTCCAGAAAATGGCTGATATTCCTATTTTGAAATGTATGTTCCTATCTGGAGCTAGCTGGGCTTCCGTCCCCTACGCCTCACACCAGGCCAGTTTAAAATATTCCAAACTTTCCTCTAAGTTTATTAACTATGGTGGAGGAGGAAGCAGGGAAGGGGGGAGGGGAGAGGAGCGAGATCTCGGGGCTCTTCCAGGCTAATTAAAAAAGAAGAAAAAGAACAAAACCCATACTCCGTGAGAACACAGCCTCTCAGGGGGAAAGGAGCCAGTTAGACTCCCTGAACACTTACATCAGGAATATGAAGATTAATTTCCAGTCTTTTCAGTGATTCAGAGGATGGTGGGGGACCACATCTTGCCTTGGAACTGCCATGATGTTTAGAAAGAAGTCATTTTTCATTAGGTTTTTAGATATGTCTTTATTATAAACTTTGACAAGATTAACTTTAATTATTTTTTAACGAGGATTTCAGATTGGCCATGCAGGCAGAACAGGAGCATTTATGAGTTTGTGTCCCTTATTCCCTGCATTGCGGTTGTCTCAGAATAGGGGGTAAGGGAGAAAGAAACAACTTCAAAGATAGGATTGTGCTGTCTCCATAAAAGAGTAGGAGGCAGATTCCAAATGTGCAAAAGGAAAAGAGGGCCATGTTGTTCCGGAATGAAATGGATTAAGATTGTGTGACAAGTGCGAGATGTGGGGCTGTGGACACTTATGAGCTGAGTGGGAGCTGGGAGCTGTGTGTGGACCAAGGGTGTGTGCAGAGCAAGGCTAGGTCGGGGAAAGGAAGAGAGTGTGTGAGTGTGAGAGATGGGAAGAAATCGGGTGGGGGGTGGGAGGGTGTGGACGGGAATGCGGACAGATTGACGAAGGGTGTTAGCTGTCAGTTTACATAATTTTCATCTCCTGGTCCTAAGGTTTCCTTGAAATCAATTCTACTGCAGGCAGCAGCCTTGAGCTTACAGAGCTGATATAAAACAACCATTACAGTCCAATATCTTGCCTGTTTGCAAACTTCATTTAAAACTGGGGAAAAAAGACCCTGCAATGGTTTTGTAAGAAAGGAGAAAAAGAAGAAAAGAAAACCACAGTGAAGCTTTAAACCAGTTTGGATAAATCTCTAATCTTTTATTTGTAACCTTTTACAAGCTTTATTTCCCGTATATGAAAAGCTTCTTTTATTTGGGCATGACAGACTTTTCCTTTGGATTTTTAATTAGAGCCCATCAATTGTAGCCATATTTAAGAATCAATATAAAGTAATCCTTCGAGATAGGATAAGGTTTTAATCGAAAATCTCATTTCCCACTCTTTGCAGATGATTTTAAGGGGCAGGTTGATTTAAAAAAAAAAAAAAAAAAGTCCAATTTTTAAAAGACATAACCCCTAAAACCTGGAAAAGACCATGTCTACAAGAAACCAAGTGAGTCACCTTACAAAGAAAAAGTCTGGCTGTGGTTGGAAACTATTCTACTTGGATGAATTTGCCTTATTATTATTTGTTTCTCAGACATTATTCACTAATGTCGTTCCTTTGAGAGTATTCATATTAAATTAGGAGAGAAAAGGAGAAGAATTGTTGGTTTGAAACAGTATTGCCTACGGAAAAGATA